AGAGAAACTTAGAGGGGACAACACATCTTTAGCCTTCTTATTTGAAGTTGGTTGCGGGTGTCCATGGGCTGCAGTAGCAACTTACCATCAGGTGGACTGTTCATTCGTGTGTTACTTTAATTTTACAAAAAAATATCAGTCTCCAACACACAATAACTTATGTAATGCTCCTACATCATGCAATTTATAATTTGTTTTGTATGTAACACGATATCTCTGAGGTCAGATTACTTGATGTTTAGGATTCGGTAATTCAAAAGAAAATAATAATAGTACCTTTATGTGATTACTTTGTTGTTCGTTCGTCAGTCCGTCCGTCTGTCCCTTTGTCCATCTTTTAGTCCTTTTTCTCATGAACTCGTAGAGGTATCAAGTTGAAATAACAAATACTAAGGGTCTATGATCTCTTCGAGGAATAAAAAAATTCAAGCATCTAAGTCAACTTAAGATACTGCCATTTATGTCACATTTTAATGAAAGTCAGTAAACAACTTGCCCCCCTCCTTCAGTTATGATGTGTAGTAGCAGTATAAAGGAATCTACTAAATAATATAATAACCATCATATATCGTAAAAGGCGACAGAGAAAACTGAAACATGAAATGGGCAGCGGCCATTTCATGGTTTTTCTTCTTGAAAACAGTTCAAAATAATAAAAAGGACTCTGTTCAGCAGTGGAATTTTTATTGGTTGGAATGAATGAATTAAATAAAAGTACTTATCTTTAGTTATTACTTACACTGTTAGACCTATTTACGGAAATGAATACTTATTGTCGTTCTTTATTTACGGTATTCGTGCATTGGTATTGAAAACAGACAAAATCGTCAAGACTTGATTCAAATAGATGAACTATCTACAATTACATACATAATTGAGTTTATTCGGAACACTTAGGGCGGGGTTCCTACACTCTCTTGTCTGGTTTTATTTTCAAAATAATGATAATGATAACTAGCTATATATTATAAAAAGCTATATCATCATCATCATCATCATCATCATCATCATCATCATTACAGTCCTTCACAAGTCCACTGCTGAACATAGGCCTCCCCCAAAGAATGCCACAAAGCACGGTCCTGAGCCACCTGCATCCATCGACTTCCTGCATGTCTTACCAGGTCGTCACTCCATCTCGTGGGGGGACGCCCTACACTTCGCCTACCGGTACGAGGCCGCCACTCGAGAACCTTTCTTCCCCATTGGTTGTCAGTTCTTCGAGCTATATGGCCGGCCCACTGCCACTTCAGCTTACTAATCCGTTGGGCTATGTCGGTTACTCTGGTTCTACTGCGGATATCCTCATTCCTAAGTTTATCACGCAGAGAAACTCCGAGCATAGCCCTCTCCATAGCTCGCTGAGCGACCTTGAGCTTTCTCATCCGGCCAGCAGTGAAGGACCACGTCTCAGTTCCGTAAGCCATCACTGGCAACACGCACTGGTTGTACAATTTCGTTTTAAGGTTTTGAGGTATGTCTGACGAGAAGATGTGTCTTAGCTTCCCGAACGCTGCCCAGCCGAGTTGAATCCGTCGATTGACCTCTCGGTCGAAGTTGGACTTACCTAGTCGGACTATTTGTCCCAGGTAAACATACTCGTCAACAACTTCGAGCTTAGTGTTCCCAACAACTACCGGCATAGGTGTGACATGGACATTAAACATGATCTTTGTTTTGTCCATGTTCATCTTAAGACCTATCCGTTGGGAAACACTATTGAGGTCATTGAGCATAGTGCTTAGGTCCTCCAGCGATTCTGCCTTAAGGACTATATCGTCGGCAAATCGAAGGTGAGGTATCCTTTCCAGTCCAGAAGCTTGAAAACGTCTTCCAATGCAGCGGTGAAGAGTTTCGGGGATATGACGTCACCCTGTCTTACACCTCTCTGCAATTGGATAGGTTTCGTACTCTGGTTCTGTACTCGGATAGTCATCGTAGCCCTACTGTACAAGCACTTCAACACTTCGATATACCGACAGTCAACTTGGCACCGCTGAAGGGACTGCAGCACCGCCCAAATTTCGACGGAATCAAAGGCTTTCTCATAGTCCACATACGCCAGACATAGTGGCAAATTGTACTCTTCGGACTTCTGTACAATTTGCCGAAGGGTATGTATGTGGTCTATGGTGCTAAAGCCCTTTCGGAAACCGGCTTGTTCGGGAGGCTGGAAGTCGTCAAGTCTGCGTGCGAGACGATTCGTAATGACTCTCGAAAACAGCACGTAGACGCGGCTCAGAAGGGCAATCGGTCTGTAGTTCTTTAAGAGAGCGTTGTCACCTTTCTTGAAGAACAAGACCACCGCACTTCTGCTCCACGCCTCCGGTGTAATGCCACCATGGAGGACGGAATTAAAGAGCTTCTGAAGGACTTCAAGTACCGGTTTTCCACCCGCTTTCAAAAGCTCCGCTGTAATTCCATCCTCGCCTGGGGCCTTACCGTTTTTAAGGTGCTGGAGAGCCATTCTAATCTCGCTCAGACTGACGTCCGGGATATCTTCGGAATAGTGTCGGATGAGACGCGCTCTTGGATCGTTACTCACACTTGCGTGTGGCTCCAACCATGACGTGTACAACTGCCCATAGAACCTCTCAATCTCACTCAAAATCTCAGGTGTCCCGGAAACGATGCTGCCACATTCTGTCTTCAGCTTTGACAGTTGGCTCTTTCTGGCAGACAGATCTCTGGCAAAGACTTTGGAGCCTTGGTTCCGCTCGATCGCTTCTTCAATACGAGCTGTATTGAAGTTGCGTAAGTCCCGCCGCATGCATTTGGAGATCTGTCTGTTCAGATGCCTGTATGCTGTCAAGTCTGTTGAAGAATGTAAAAAAAAAGCTATATAATGAAACTAAAATATCATGTATCGAAAATTATTCACTTTTGCATAACACCATGTCTACAACCCTGCCATAAAATCAAAATTAATAACCAATGGTAACCTTATATTAGTTGTAATAACTTAGATTACTTAAAAAAAATCGACTACAATTGTTATCGGATTGGTTGTAATTTACATGTGGTAGGGTATACAAACTATCCATACCATCTGTCAATACTAAATTTGCACAACGTTTTGGCGATTTTATCAAAAGACAAATTTATAATAAGGTCGTAAAACATTGTAATATTAGTAATAAAAACTACATAGGTATCTGCGAAACTAATTATTTTGAAATGGTTTGTTACCCTATCATATGAGGAAACAGAAGAATTGTCAAAAACTGGCTTTTGTTAATTGATGGTATTTGTAAAATTATTAGATAAATTTTGTTATTGTTTTAATTTTTTATTTTCTTTTGTTTAAATGCACATAGTTAATACATTTCAGTTTTATATAGCTTACTTTTGTTTTTATAGTTTTCTTTCTTTTTTTTATGTTCAAAGATCTAAAGCAATAAGCAGTTCTGTTATTGTTGTTTTGTGTTAATACGAGTGTACTCGTATTACACAAAATCTTATCTGTCTGATAAGGTGTATAAAATAGCGCTTAATGAACTATGGTCTCAGGTTACCTCGATACAGGCTTGCCTAGTGAGGAAACCAACAGATATTACCTATTGTATTATTTTTCTTATTGCTAATAAAACATTTTTCATTTTTCATTTCCAGCTTTTTATGATTAAATATGGAATATTGTGGCGGGACGAAAAACTGAAAAGAAGTATAACACTATTAAAGTCTTTTTAAAACATATTCTAACTAACTGAATAAAACTAATTTTAAGGATTATAACGCGTTTAATTTTAACTTTTCAGTAGCATGAAAAATTGAGAAAACTTAAATTAATTACTTACCTTAACTTTAATTACTTATTGGAATACCATGCCGATAAACAGCTACGAATTTAATTAAAAAGCTTCTATTTTATTCACAGTTTTGTATACAGAGTAGGTATCTACTAAGTTGTGTAGTCTCTGATATTATATTGCAAAATTTAACGTGCTAAGCATGGCGACTACGGTAAAACAACCTAATAATGATCAGTTAGTGGTTGAAATGTTTTCTGTCTGACAATTTTAGGTAGTTGTGTGTGTGTGTGTGTGTGTGTGTGTGTGTGTGTGTGTGTGTGTGTGTGCGTGCGTGCGTGCGTGCGTGCGTGCGTGCGTGCGTGCGTGCGTGCGTGCGTGCGTGCGTGCGTGCGTGCGTGCGTGCGTGCGTGCGTGCGTGCGTGCGTGCGTGCGTGCGTGCGTGCGTGCGTGCGTGCGTGCGTGCGTGCGTGCGTGCGTGCGTGCGTGCGTGCGTGCGTGCGTGCGTGCGTGCGTGCGTGCGTGCGTGCGTGAGTGCGTGCGTGCGTGCGTGCGTGCGTGCGTGCGTGCGTGCGTGCGAGCGTGCGTGCGTGCGTGCGTGCGTGCGTGCGTGCGTGCGTGCGTGCGTGCGTGCGTGCGTGCGTGCGTGCGTGCGTGCGTGCGTGCGTGCGTGCGTGCGTGCGTGCGTGCGTGCGTGCGTGCGTGCGTGCGTGCGTGCGTGCGTGCGTGCGTGCGTGCGTGCGTGCGTGCGTGCGTGCGTGCGTGCGTGCGTGCGCGTGCGCGTGCGCGTGTGTGTGTGTGTGATTAAGTTGATTAGAGAATGGTTTCGATTCACAATTTTAAGATTTATTGTCGAGATCCAGAAATCAACCATACGTAGCTGGGGTGAATCGCTAGTGCTACTTAAAATTAGTTTTATTCAATGTGCACGTGTAATGTAGTGTTTGCGTAAATATATAAAATTATTATTACGGTCATGTGGTATGTGGTACAAATAGTTTTAATATTTCAATGTTGTTGTTACTTAAGATAGTTAATTTACATCTTATTTCTAAGGGGCTAAGGCTAAGACTACAAAAGTTCTGAAAGTATGTTTAGCATTCATGACTGACCCACTATCCATAATCTGTCGACAGTGGATCATTAATTTGGACGTTGAGATTAAAGTGATTAAGACTTAAATTATAAAATCGCGGGTTTCACCGTCATGTGGAATGGTAAGGTGGTGAGAGAAGGCATTGTGGTAGGGACACAAATCGTCGCGAATAAGCGCGCGAAACGCACGCGCATGATACTAATTCGATAAGGCTTAACGCCGTTAATTTCCAATCGTTATTTAATACGTTACGTTTCTCATTGCTTGTGAATACGGATTTGTTTTTATGTAAGTTTATTTTTATTTTTTACAAATTACTTATGTGTAAATATACATATATTTTTAATTAATATCACCCACCTAAAATATCCTTTAAGTATTTGATGACAAAATTGAAAATTGGTAATAAATAAATAATTTAACCATAAGTTACTATTGGTAAAATGGAATGTCATTTAAATATTTATATAAATAGTGTGTTTTATGTAAGTGTATATTTATTAGGACTTCATAATTGGTGAAATCCAAACTTTTTAAACGTTTACTTATATTGTTATCGTTTTATTGATTAATTAACTTTCCATTATAATTCTCAAGGATGAAATTATCAAAAACTTTGTACACTCTTTGAAAATATACAGACCAAGTTAGACAGTCAATGAAACAAGAGATGCCATACCGTAACGTCTCTGGCAATTTTATTGTGGGACTTGAAGTTATTTGTCGCAACACTTAGTTAAAAGTTTCACCGCTTACGCTTGTTGCGTCCCTTTTCTGCCGACTTCCAAAAAGGAGCCGGTACTCAATTCGACTGTATGTTTTTTTTTTTTTTTTTTCGTTTTTTTTTTTTTTTTTATGTGTGTTACCTCAGAACTTTTTTCTGGGTGAACCGATTTCGATGATTCTTTTTTTATTTGAAAGCTGGTACTTCTCGTGTGGTCCCATATGAATTTGATCAAGGTCAGACCAATAGTTTTTAAGTTATTCTTAAATAACTTATATTGAAGTCGGCTGTACAAAATTTTTAATTTTAAATTATTCATTAACGAAACACCGCACAAAATAATGAGAGAGTAGAGTAAGATTGCCAACTTCTTTTTATGCCCTCAAGGGACAAACGATCATGAAGCTTAAAAAATACGAGAGTTTCCTCTGTTCTATGCGGAAACAAAACAAATAAAAGGACAAAAGTACGCGAGCAACCCGGGTTCGATCCCCGCCGGCACGAATGAAATAGTTAATTGCAATTTTAAGTGCTTATTTACCACGTGCATGTCTGAAAAATAAAAAAATATATTTCGTAGACATGTGAAGTTCACAGAGAACACGCATTGGGCTAGTGCGGTGGACATTTCCTTGCCCTAAAACCAGCTCAGAAATAAGAGGAGGCCTGTGCCCAGCAGTGGGACGTATATAGACTGTTTCCTTACTTTACTTTTTATCGTTATCGACTTTACTGAAAGTAACATATTTTGAGATTGTACATGTAAAAAGAGACAATCAAAAATGTAATTATATGTGTCAAAAATACTAAATACTTTGCGAAAATACCCTTTTGTTGAAAGAAATTGAGCTAGGAATACTAGACTGATAGAAATTATGATGAAAACATTGCTTAATATATTTAAGTATGTCTCCGTAAACAGTTTTATCATTTTCTAAAAAAAATTGATCGGTGTAGAATTATGTAAAACAAAAAATGCGGGACATAGCAATTTATCTAAGAAATAAAGGCTGTGCCGTGAAATACTGCCTACCTGCTTTTCCGTATCTTCGTTCTGCCTGGGTAGATACCATCTTTTTACCTCTTTCTCGCGCCAAGTATAGTAGTGCAAAATCTCGTCACAGGACAACAGAGTCAATATAATTAGAGACTGTAAGGCATTTCGTCGTTATATAAGTATATGGTTGCGCATATACGTATATATTTCTTTTGTACTTCTCTTATTATACGATGAAATTTTTTATTTCATCTCTACATGTTAAGTTAGGCATATTTACGTGGTGCAATCTATTTTATTTGTGTTCATTGGGCGCAATCACGTAGTAATTAAATAAAGTAGTAAATAATAGTTTTTAAAATATCACACTTTGTAAGCTTAGACTGCAATGTGTTCGTTTTAACTTTTTAATTAATGTATGAAAAACATGACAAAGTCAAAGAATCAAAAGTCCACAGCTCTACATGCGCCCCCCATAGTTTGACAATTAGCTGGATATTATGCTGTAGTTGCTCCGCTTGGCATGTACTCTTGAAATGACACTTCCTGAATATTGATACATAAGTATATAAATTTTAAAAAATATTAGTGATTAACTCACTCTTGTCTAAGGATGCCATTTTTGGCTAGTGTTTATTATTATAGAATAATTGTGACAAACAAGCACACAGTCCACTTGATTGTAAATGGATGCTGTGGCCCATAGACATCTACATTTATCCTCGAATCCCCGATTAAGAATCAAAATGCAGATGCGTTGCCACCCCTGAGGAATAAGATAGAATGCCTCTTTTCCAGTAAAAGGGTCTCCGGTTCTCTACACTCACCATATGAAACACAGCAGCCTTAATCTGCTATTTCACGGTGTTATTCTGTGAGAGCGTTGTCCTACCCCGGTCAAGCCGACCCATTCGTGCTACAACTAATATAGCTGCAGCTTGGCTTTAACCTTAAATGTAGTTTCATTGCTTTATTATCATATAAGTCTAAACTTAAATTTTTTGTTAATTATTGTTAGAGTATAGTGAAAGGTGACGTTTCGGAAGCGCAGTAGTGTTTGCCTGCGGCGCTACGGACCACGAGATCGAAACATACACGGAACAAGTTTATGGCCTACAAATAATTTTTCCGGGTTGATTGTCCATATTCAATTTATGTGGGTAAAATACATTTACGTAGCAAGAAATATACTATATGTATTTTGTATTTAGTATTGTAGGTATCTGAGAATACCTACAATACAAATTACAGACAATACAGTATTGTGGAGAATACATAATTACTCCATGCCGTAATCGGTCGTTTTACTTGGGCCTAAAAATTAAGATTCTAACGTTTTGTCGCATGAAATCGTATCGTACATATAAGTGTTATAAAAAGCACATTGTCAGAAAGATAAATGATTGTTGAACTTATTTTTTTTTAAATCGATTAATTGCTATTTATCAATTTTTTCGTCATGGGTGTCATTTTCATGGTTTTCGAGGGTGTTGAAGCCGATAGGGTTGTCGAAATGTAAATCCAAGATGGCGGCTGCAATAGGTATCAATTTTTTCATCATGGGTGTCATTTTCATGGTTTTCGAGAGTTCTGAAGCCGACAGAGCTGTCGAAATGTAAATCCAAGATGGCGGCTGCAATAGGTATCAATTGTTTCATCATGGGTGTCATTTCCATGGTTTTCGAGGGTGCTGAAGTCGACAGTGCTGTCGAAATGTAAATCCAAGGTGGCGGCTGCAATAGGTTTTTTTTTTTTCATCTTGGGTGTCACTTTCATGGTTTTCGAGGGTGCTGAAGCCGATAGTGCTTTCGAAATGTAAATCCAAGATGGCGGCTGCAATTGGTATCAATTTTTTCATCATGGGTGTCATTTTCATGGTTTTCGAGAGAGTTGAAGTCGATAGGGTTGTCGAAATGTAAATCCAAGATGGCGGCTGCAAAAGGTATCAATTTTTCCATCATGAATAGAATAGAATAGAATAATTTTTATTCAATATACATTACATGTGTAATTCTTATTGAAAGTCATTTTTTACTTTACCACTGGTTCGAAAAAAAAACCTCTGTCCTGGGAAGAACCAGCAAGAAACCCAGCGAGACTTTTTTTTTTAAATAAATTTTACAATATAAATTATTACGAACTATTTACAAAATTTATTTTAGAAACCGCTTGGAAGCGACCACCTCATTCCCAGGGGTTATTATCAACCATGTATTCATTTATACTATAATAACCCTTTTTATACAGTTTCAGCTTAATAAAACATTTGAACTTGGTAATAGAAAGAACCTGTACACTTTCCGGGACCTTGTTGTAATAGCGTATACATTGCCCCAAAAATGAATTACTGACTCTGTGGAGTCGAGATTCTGGCATCACTAGCTTGTGTTTGTTCCTTTTTTTATTAAAACTATCTTTATTTTTGTGAACATACATAAAATTTTCGTAAATATACTGAGAGGCCAAAGTTAATATATTTATTTCTTTAAATTTATCTCTAAGAGACTCTCTCGGTTTTAGATTCTAAATAGCTCTAATGACCCTCTTCTGTAAAACAAAAATAATTTTCATACGATATAAAACATCGTAGTCGTGATCAAAAATGATCTTGGGTATTTTGAAGTCGCAAGAGTATGTTTCTTGTTTGGTTAGCTGTATTAATTAACAGTTACAAGCTTTTATTAATTTTCCACAGAGAGTATTCGATTTTAGAATCACATCCATAATAGCTTATTATAAAACAGCGCGATTAACTATGTAGGTCTTCATTACTGCTTACCCCCAGGTGGGATTGTAGTCAAGCAACGGAAAAAGGCAATGGATGTGAACTGAACATTAAGCATGTTTTGAGGTACATAGAGTCACATTCTACTGTTTTAAAGAATTGTTCTTTCATGTTTAGTGAATTTATTGAGCTCACAATCAACCTGATGGTGAATGATTACTACATCCAATAGCCACTTGCAGCTATCTTCGAATAAAAATGGCTAAAGATGCTTGGTTAGTAATCACTCTTGACAACTAAGGAATGTCTCAAAGAATTAAAAAAAAACTTGTTGAGATTTACAATAAAATCTATTATGCTTTAAGTTTACTTCAGTTTCTAGAATATTGAATTGACAAACCCTTAATAATCGCCACCACCGTAATCTTAATGTGTTTACAATTTATTTATTAAGCTTGTACTTAAAATTACGCACATCTATGGAAAAGTTTTTCGTTTTAAAGGTCTCTTTGTAATTAAATCGCCTTGGCCTTTCTACAAAACTCATAACAAAAAAAAATATCTTTATACTTCTTATTTGCTCCAATTATACCTATTTACGCAAATAGCAGATCAAGTGCATGCCGACCCACATATACATAATATATTAACTGATTTGGATTTTCCTTAAAAATATTTACGTGATAAAGGCATACGCTTCCACTGCAGCTTTAGAATGCAAAATGAATGGGTCGGCTCGACAAGGAAGGACAAGTCCTTACGGTATACCAGCATGAAATAGCAGCATAATACTGCTGTGTTTCATATGGAAATATTTCATATAACATAAACAGCAAATCATA